GTGTGTGTGTGTGTGTGTGTGTGTGCGTGTGTGTGCGCGCGCGTGTGTGTGTGTGTGCGTTTCTGTAGTCACTTCAGTGTAACAATCTCTATGCCGCTAACGTGATTAATTTCCGCTGGAATGAAAAAGACGATATTCTTCTTATCTGGTTACATAATCAGTTCTCCGTCGTAAATTGCTCTTCCATTGGCGACAGGATGAAGTAGCGCTTTTTCGCTAGTGTGTCAGCTCGTCTGTCTTGGTTATAAACGAGACTAGACAGAAAATCATCTTCACTAGCACTTGCTTTGTCATTTATGTGATGTATTTCATTGTCCTTTATGATCTACTAACCAGAAGTTAGACGATAAACGGATTCTCCTATTATCTTACACCAGACCTAACGTATAACTACTGTAAGACAACTCGACGAAGATCTGAAACCCTTATTCCTACATACTAGATTTCATTCCTATATCCTAGATCTTGTTCCTACTTCCTTCCTACATCTCATCGATACATCCCAGATCTCATTCCTATGTCAATTTTTATTAATATTATTAATATGTCTTGTTTTACCGCACCTATCATTTGCGTCTTTCCAAACTTTCGTGAATCTTCAAAAAATTCATTTTGTTTCGTTATTCGGTCGTTTTTTAAGAAATTCGCTAGCATTTCCGTAATTATTTTTCGAAGGTTGAGAAAAATGTTGTGTAGGACAACGAGTAAACCCGAAACTTTTCGAAGTAAAAGATTAAAGATAAAAGTACAAGTAAAAGAATAAAGATTATCTCAGCGTTTGCGTCAGCATGTTTGCATCTATGTTATATCATCATATAATATCTAACATATTCGACATGATTTTAATTTCCGGTTTGGATGTGACGCTAGATCACCGTCTCCTACTGCGCAAAATTCTCAAGAAGCGTCATCATACTAACTTGACAATATCTGGCTTTTAGCCCCGTATCGACTTTCATAATAAAAAGTTAATATACGTTTTGCAGACAACGTTTTAAAACTGTTTGTATATGAAGCAGATACAGTATACCCGAGTCCATCGCTAACTCGGAAAGTCCGAACGTTCTACTTCCTTATATTATCTAAACGAAAACTGAGGAAAAGATTGCGAGACATCAAACATTGGAAGCGAATAAATGACAGATTAATTGCCTCAGCAGCTGTAGCAATGATTCATGAAGGAGCGGGTGGTAACAGTGGCAGTGCGTAACCATGCAGGAATATGCGGTGTTGTTGCTACAGCTCTATCGATGCGATATTCACGTGTTACAGCGCCGCCAGTATGTCTTGGTCTTAATGTGGATCGATAGCAAAGAAGTTTAACATTTTAATACATTAAATGTAGCCTGGTCACTACCTCATGTACCGGCCATTAGTAGCCTCATTTACAATGCAGCCATGACAGCGTTAATCTCATTAACATTCCTCCACATCTGCATAGTGTTCATTAGCAGATTTTCATTGGAGATTTTCCATTCAACGCTGTTATATATTTATTTAAAATAACGCGCCATTTTTTTCGCTTGCTAATTAGAATTCATACAAGCTATAGTAAGCAATTTATCAAATATGTCACGGTGTAGTTGTAAACACCAGAGAGGTCACCGCGCGTGCCTACCCGAAATATTAATGAGGAAATAATACGAAAGAAGTAATAAACCAGTTAGTCTATTTACACATTTTCTTCCATCCACACATCTCTATAGAGCCATTTCTATACATTTCTATGGTCGCAACCACTCCAACGAAATCGTAGTACAGAGCGCGCAAATCCATTTTGATGTGGGGCGTGGACCGAGTAGCGAGCACCGCGAGGGGGCGGTCTGGGGATCATAAAAAAAAAAAAAAAAAAAAATTTTTTTTTGAAATAGAGCCCCTCGATGCGGTTTCTGCGGCGAGCAGGGGGGTCCGCCGACTGGACCCACTGTACAGCCCTGCAGACACACAACAACACACACACAACACACCACAAACACACACACAACACACACACACACATGCATTTGGTTTGCTGATAGATTACGAAAGCGGTGTCCACATTGCAGTCATATCAGAAAACAAAAGCAGCAAACCATCAGTTTGGTGTTGAGGCTGATCACAAATAAATTGGTCAGTTATTATTGTTTGGTCCAGTCATATCTATTGTGCTTAGTATATCATCAATTTGCAACGAAATTACATTATTTCACACGGATGCTCAGTTACTGCAGTGTCCTCTTGCGTGAATATAGCTCGTGTTCCCAGGTCAGTGTTCTAATGGTAGTGTATCTCCTAACTTTTCATAACATACTTTCTCTTGATGATTTCTGCCTAAGAATTATTTGATTAAGAGAAAACGTTTAAAGAAAGTACTAAATTATTCAAGACACATTTTCTAAGTTGTGCATGATCATTATTTATGCTCTCAATGCACTTGAATGAATAAAAGCTTTGCGTAAAAAGAAAAAGGAAAGAAGCTATCGTTGACGCACCTATCAACCTAATAAAAAGGTTCTCACTTCACAACACCACAAACAACACCCACCACAACTACACACAACACCACAACACACACACACACACACACACTTACACACAAAATCATGGTGATCCAAAATCGTGGGGGGGACATTTAATATGATGTCCCCCCTCTGAAAATTCGTGGAACCCCCTGTCCCCCCCTGGATTTGCGCCCCTGATCGTGTAGTTCTAGCAGTACTAGCCAGGGTGACTTCAAGCAATCGAAAACATCAAGGGAGTGAAATCGAAACGAGTTCGGCTGGACTGACTCTCCCAGTTATTTGCTCAAACTGTCAATGGTCTAGGTCATGAAACAAAACCTAGCCCCAAATTACATAGCTGTCGCCACGTCAGCGAGACAATGCGTCAGCGGCGTCGGACGCAGACGTGCCAGTGAGCGCACTACGCCGCGCGCATTTAAATCGAAACCGGTCATCTGCCAGCTAACGAGCAGGAGCGGTGCAGCGGCGCGCCTGAACATCAACGGGAAAGTAGATCCGATTGCGCGCGCCGGTTGACTCAGTCGGCATTCAGCAGCGAGCGACACAGACGATACCAGCGTGACGTGTGCAATTTCTGTGTATACTTCTAGATATTCTTTTTGTTCGTGTTTCTTCTCCTCTTCTTCACGACTTCTTCTACGACCACAGACATGCAGACACGGACAGTATTATCGTGTGTTCTAGTCCTCGGGCTCAGTCTGGCAGGTAGGTCATAGATTCAGAACCTTCTCCTCTTTATAATGTAGAGACAGTAGAGATTTTGTGCGGCGCGGAATTCTTTCGCGCCGGTGTGTAACAATGTCATACTTTCTGTTGTGTGTTGTTGTGGTGCAAATGTCGTGGAGGAGAGGAGTTATAGCCTAGGCTTGGTTTGTGACAGAGTGTACGTGTTGTAAGGTGCATTCACACCAAATTTTACGTTGAAAAATTGATAGGTATAATATTCGTTGTGTCAATAAATTGTGCCCTAGATTTGACATTGTTTATAATCTGACGCTATTCTAGAATAGCGTAAGATTATATAAATTCCGATAGCACAATTCATTGGTATATCACTATATGTTCTGATGTAGCTCTACCCGTGAAGCAGCTTTTTGCTCCGTACTAGAACCACCCAGCAATGTATAAATATCTATGGTACAATATAATAAGACGCTAGTCGGAAAAATAACTGTGACTTTAGCTTGTCACTGCAAGGCTGAACGGATAGAGCTAATGTCCATGTAGAAACAATACCATAATCCTCTCTGTTGGGAATAGGTTTTCGTATCTTAATACCCAGGGCGCGCGAGTGTAGAGCCTGTGTGAGAATGTATAGAGATAATATTTCATAGTGATTTCTTTACTATGCGATATTGTCATTGTGTTATCAACCGTGTAAATAACCATTTTCCGAATTTTCCATTAGTTCCAAGTCAATGTCATAACAAATACCTTCACAGTTGTTTCGTGGTCTATAATGGCGTTTTACATAGGTGTAGGCCTCATTATTTCCCTACGTACCGAAAATGTTTCAATGTGACACAATTCAATTGATGCAGAGCGAGTAAGAGACACATGTGCGTGTATGGCTACGGTGATTTTCACGACTTCTAGTCGCATTAATAACGCGTACAGACGTATACAGTGGTGGGTAGTGGCTCTGTGTGTGCGTATAGGATAACTTGTTCTCTCTGTGTGTTTTGCCTCCTAATGAACCAACGAACATGTACCTGCTAAAGGCTAATCCTTGAAGGTGACTGCTGACTGTGTTGTGACAAGAATCTAAACTGCGTTCTGATCTTTCTCTGTTTCCCCCCAGCGCACGCACCCGTCGTTTGTTGCTGCTCTGTATTAATAGCCCGCAGGTGTCACACCCTGGCGTGCTGCCGTTGTCTACAAATTGCACCCATTCTGCTGCCCATTTTCTCTCTCTGTTTTGTCAGAACAAGTCCCTCGCCACTTACCTCTCCCCCTAAACAGTTGAGGTGGGGACAATGTGATGCTACTGGTTAGCAGGGAGAAACAGGATGTACGGATGTGTAGAAGATTAGTAGTGTGCTTCACATACACCAGCCTATTATATACTCCCCCTTTTCTCCCCTTCTCTTGTTTTTGTTGCAATTACTTTTGGCGAGTGTGTGCCGTAGTGAAATTGATATATTAAAAAATCGGAGCGATGCTTCGTAACGTGTGTGATGTGGGGGCCATGTGGTTGTGATACTAAATTAATGGCATGCGATCTTTGCGGCTTATTTTCGAACGCAGATTTGACTCGATGAAACATTTTTCCTCCGACTCGAGTCTGTAGATTGTCAGGCATACATGCATGCTCATTAAAGTACACCCAAGGGCACCATGTATATGCAGTGGGGGCCACACTGGTTCAGATCTAGTAACGATCGGTAAAAACTTCTCTCAAGTAAAGATTCTGAGATAGCGTTCGGGATTAGACAGGAGTATTGTAACACCCCCCCCCCCCCGTCGTGTGGCTACGGCCGCCTCAGGCCCGTTGATTCCGCTCGCCATGTACAGTGCAGGCGTTTGAAAAGGGAGGTTAGCCCATCACTGTTGGATTCTCTATCCATGTCAGTTCACTCTTCACTTGCTTTCACCCGTCGTTGGACGGGAAGGTTCGTTCGTTTCTTCGGTTAGCCGTGTTTCAGTCGGTGTTGTGTTCACATCCATGACTCATCGCATGAGCTATAGTCAATCATGGTCATGGGATACTACTCATCCATTGTACCAGCCAACACAACACTACCAAGTTACACTCCGATGTGTGTTACATCGTATAACAAACAATAATATAGCAGTAGTAGATATAGTAATTCCAAGAGTGAATAATAATAGATCTATTATCTATTATTATTCACTCCTGGTAATACTAATACTACTACTAATAATAATGTATGATTGATAATAATAGGATACGACCACAGGCACTTGGGACAGGGTCAGTAAAAACTGAAAATAATACGAACGCACATTCACAAATAGGCCCTACTACCGTACCTCTCAATTACAGTTCCACTGTTGCTGTGTGCATTGTGCTGTATATAAACTTTCCTTCATAAAAACTAACGCCGAACGCTCCCGCACTCGCCGCTGCGAGTGTGCTGTGACGCCATGATAATGATAATAATAAACATATAATATAAAGTTAATATAATTATCATAAACGTAGTGGACTGGTTAGACACAACAGTGGAACTATAATTGAAAGGTACGGTAGTAGGGCCTATTTGTGAATGTGCGTTCATATTATTTTCAGTTTTTACTGACTGTCCCAAGTGCCTGTGGATACGACCCCCCGAATAACGCCACAAGCGAGCTGTTACGTACGGCTAGACGGTGTTTGTCTATATATAGATAGCTATTCATGTTTGATTGGCAGCCACCGACGGAGCCGTAATTTCGTCGTGTTTCGCAAAAATTAAATTGATGATTTATAGCTTATTATACTTACCAGGTAACTACCTGCAAATATCCACCGTATTTACACAGCGAAGGCGAGCAAATTATCGCGTTGTGTTAACCCCCTCCCCCACCATTAAGCGTTATATATTAGTTTTAGGTGGGGGTTTATGAAGGCCGAGGGGATTTGGTGGGGGTGCGTGGTAGCGATGTACGCACATGCAGTGCTGCATTACAAGTTCGACACTTATCACCCCTGTTCGTACGAGGTACGGTGAGGTTTCTCTGTCTGAAAGCGTGAACGGTGTGAACGTTTTTGAGCGTATTTCGCAGAGCATTATAATGGCTGTGTAAACCAATACCGCGTTTTACGTTGTTGTGGTGGTGGGGGTTGTGGTGATGACGGCGGGTGGGGGGAGCAACTTTAACTGCCAAAAGTCATCGGTGCAAGCGGCTCATGTTTGAGTCACTGCTGGTTTTATAGACTGATTCTGAATTCTCCACTGGCTTTGTTTGCATCATTATTATATTAACAAGTGCCGCATAGCGACAGCGCTCATCTAACGTCTACTGCGGTGACTCTGTGGTGGAGTGG